TAGAATTGGAGAAGCTAAGATTATTCTTAAAGCTAGGTCAGTCATTCTAGCTGCCAATCAAAACCTGCACACAAAAACCTGGACATAAATATTTATAGTAGCTCTACTTATAATTTGGCATTGTTGATGCCAAAACTTGGAAGCAACCAAGTTGCCCTTTAATAGGCGAGTGGATAAACAAATTGTAGTGCATCCATACAACAAAACACGATTCAATGATAAAATGAAATGAGGTATCAGGCCATGAAAAGACATGAAGAAATTTTAAATGCGTATTACTAAGTGAAAGAAGCCAATCTGAAAAGGCTACATACTATATGATTCCAGCTATCTGACATTCTGGAAAATGCAAAACCATGGAGACAGTCAAATGACCGGTGGTTGCCAGGGGTTGCAGGGGAGGTAGGAAAAGAGAGGGGGATAAATAGGTGGAAAACAAGGGGATTTTAGGGCAGTGAAACTCTTCCGTATGATACAGTGATGGTGGATTTGTGTTATCATACAATTGTCAAAACCTCATTCAACACAAAGTGGATCCTAATGTAAACCATGGACTTCAGTTGAGAGTAATGTATCAATATTGGCTATCAATTACAACAAATGCACCGCACTGATGCAAGATGTTTATCATCGGGGAAGCTGTCAGGTGGAAGATTTGAGGAGATACGTGGATAAAGGGGATAAATGGTATATAGGAGATAAAGAACAAGACTTGGCTGAAAGAAGGCAACATATTGGAAAGAGGTTTTGTAAGAAGCCACTCAAGGGAAGAAATGTAAGGATAGACTGAGAGCCAATTCTTTGTTAAAACCGTGCTTTCTAGGCCTTGTTCTTCCTAATCTTTACCAATCTTCAGCAATGCAGAGGAGGAACCAGAAACTCTGGGAGGCCTGAGATTCATCTACACACCTAGAAGGCCGTAAAAGCAGGGTTTGGACAAGGTCTGACTCACAGCTCCCGATCCTTCCTCCACCCCACCCTACTTTATCTACTTACAGGAGACCCCAGCTTGTCTTCTACTTGGGACAGGGGTAGCCATGGCAATACTAGGAACAACTTAACAGTTATTCCTAGCAGCTGCCTAAGGAGATTTTCTCTGCAAGAACAGAGGATAATGAATTCTCCTAATGAATGAGAGAAATCACAGAGGTAAACAGCGATGCAAACACCCAAAAACGTCACAGTCACAATGATAGGCCAGCAAGACAGCATCGAATGACGAGCCTGCTGTCTTTAGAGAAGAGGGGTGTTTTCTGAAAGCCTCTCACTGCAGACTCCTTGCTGATCTGGCAACTCCAGCCTAGCGCTCAGAGGAAGCCACAATGAGAAGATCAATTTTCCGCAGTCCTAAGAAGAGACACATCCCCTTCTGTGTATACACTTCTCTTGTATTCACTGTTTTCACTCAGCCCCCTGCAGCCTGCATAAGACTTGAAATTGCAACCCTTATACATTCAATTCCAGATTATCCTTCTTAAAGGGAATCAACCATTGTTGAAATCCCCAGATAATCCCCCAACTTCATTTGTACCATTTTTTGTACTGCTTTCCCAGAAAGTTCAAGCCCTAGACTGAAGGAGCACACGAAGTAAAATTGATGACTTTGAATGGCAAATCCCAGCCAAGAATCCAACCGAACATGGTGTACCAGGGCCCCAAGTATGCTTCCTGTTCCCCACTAGCTACCGGCTCCCAGGCCCATTCCTCCTCAGACTGCCTTGGGCCTTGGGCCTGTGCAGACAGCCCTAGAGGAAGCGAGGAGGTTCCTTCCAGGCCAGACGAGGTCTGGGTGAGGGCAGCAGGCACAGTGCAGATTCCTCCTGCGAGCCCAGGTCAGGGCACAGTCTAGCTGCTGTCAAGGTTTGGATCTTAATCTCCGATTTGGCTATAAAAGCTGCTCAGGCAGCACCCAGTGCAATAACTGTGGGGCAAAATCAAGAAGTATCTAACAGGAGAGGGTTTCCAGAACAATTGTGCTGAGGGTTCTAAAAACTGAGCATTGAGGCTATGGACACTAGCCCCTGGATGGTCTAGAGGGTCCAGGATCCTACTTTAACCTGCTATCCCAGCCAAGCAGGAGCAAACCACATCTAACTTAATATACTCTTGTAGAAGATCTACTTCTCTATGCTTCTTCACAGTCTCTGCTAGAGCTATTAGCAAGGTACAAGTGACAACAAGCTCGCAGGATGGATATGTGGGAGATAAGGAGGAAAACAAGGAAAGAGAGGGAAGGAGGGAAAGTGGGGAAGTGCACACAGTCTCTAGATGGCCAAAGGGTAATGAAAATTTCAGTGATCGAACTCCCCTCTCCTTCTTCCTGCTTTGTTTCTGTATCTTTGAATCTTATCATTTGCTCCAGACCCCAGTGAAATCTCCTCCACAAAGTCTTCTTTAATGCCACACCTGAATACTGAGAGCTCCCCCTTTCACAAGTGTGTTGGGCAATTTCAGTCAAAAGCTCCAACAGAGCAGTTTATCACATGCCTCTGGTTTTGAGTATATAACCTTGGTTCCTGACACTCTCCAAACAAGAGGCTTCACTTGCTCAAGGACAGTTATGCTAGACACTTTCCTTGTAGCCAAGACCTAGGACAGAACTTCACCCTTCAAGATGGGCATTCACTCACTGATTGAACTCCCTCCCCACGTCCCAGCATGCTCTCATCTATGTAGGCACTGGCAGGAGAACCCTCGAGAACTTCCCTTCAGGACCAAGGGAAGGCAGTGCTCTCGTTCCCCATCCCTGGGCTTCCAGAGTCTGAGGGCACAAAGGTACAGCAGAGGGCCTGCCAATCCTTGGCCTAACCATTTCAGGTGGTCTGGAGCCGACATTCATCCAGAAATGGGTTACCATTTTTCAAACGCACATACATACATTTGATTTATGAAATATAAGCCAGGCATGAGAACTCACGCCTGTATACAATCCCAGCACTTTGGGAGACCAAGGTGGGAGGATTGCTTGAGTTCAGGAGATTGAGACCAGCCTAGGCAACATGAAGAGGGATTGTCTTTTTCTTTTTCTTTTTTTTCTTTTTTTTTTTTTTGAGACGGAGTCTCACTCTGTCATCCAGGCTGGATGGAGTGCAGTGGCGTGATCTCGGCTCACTGCAAACTTCACCTCCTGGGTTCAAGCGATTCTCCCACCTCTGTCTCTTAAGTAGTGGGGATTACAAGCACCCACCATCATGCCCGGCTAATTTTTGTATTTTTGTAGATACAGGGTTTCACCATGTTGGCCAGGCTGGTCTTGAACTCCTGACCACAGGTGATCTACCTGCCTCAGCTTCCCAAAGTGCTGGGATTACAGGCATGAGCCACCATGCCTGGCCAAGAGGCATTGTCTTTACAAAAAAATTGTTTAAAAATTAACCAGGCATGGCAGTGCATGCTTGTGGTACCAGCTAATTGGAGGCTCAGGTGGGAGGTTTGCTTGAGCCCAGGAAGTTGAGGCTGCAGTGAGCTGTGTTCACATGACACCACTCCAGCCTGAGTGACAAAGTGAGACCCTGTCTCAAATAATAATTTAAAAGAATAAAATACAAAGTCATTTAAAGCCATTACTGTCTTTTTATTAACATTTTGTTATAAACTTATTTTTAAATAAGTAGATATTAGAAGTTCAGGTCCCAGGATTTTTTGACATTTGAAAGAATTTCAATGTTATATTAGAACATTTTGGAACTACTGATCCATACATGAATGCTGTTCCTCTCCTCATTCACGGTCAGGTGGCATGCTGCTAGCTGCAGCCCAGAATCCAAGTTCCCCATTTATGAACACACAGTCATTGAGTCTGCCAAAAATTAGCTTCTGAATTTGCAGAAGTTCAAAGCTTAGGGAAAAGTTTAAAGGCAACTGATGCAACTGTCACTCTTGACCAATTTGCTGGGAACTGAAATTATGCACAATCCATAAATATGACTTAAATAGTTCTATTTCAGTTTATAATAAACAATGAGGCCCAGCTCCAATCCTTCTCTCTCCCCAGTGAGGATTATTCAGAGCCCTACCCTTGCATAGCTAGGAAAGATGAGGACCGAGTTTCATATTTCATGGCATTAACAGACACAACAAAACTCTCTTTCCTTGACCCAATTCACTGCCTTTATTTTCACAAACTGCTTGGCGCAATAGCCATTTAGCATGTCCCACTAAAATAAATGGGGGCATCATTTAAATGCCACACTAACTCCCTACATTTCTACATGCTTATAAACCATGAGGCAACTATCAAGTTAATAAATGTCCAACTTCTGATGGATTTACATATTATATTGACACTGTATTTGCATTCAGAGCAAAAATGAAATGGGTCTTAAAATGAGTCATGATAAAGTGATTGCTATCAAAAGGCTGGAGCCTGGATCCAGACAGCCATAGGCTTGCAACTTTCTCTACTGAACAACAAACAAAGTCAAAGATTAAAGTGATCAAATAAAAATTAGGGCAGGTCTGCCAATCCCCATTTCCACCTCTACCTGATGGGACCAGTATTCATGAATGACTATGGCCCATAAACTGTGTTGTGCTTCTTATCCACTATTGAATTCAATCCAACCTAACAGGCAGATGCTATTCTTGTCACTGTTTAACAGACAAGAACACTAAGCCTCGTCGGCTGTGTAAGAAAACACAAGTAAATAATCTAGTACAAATCGGACTCAGGCAAAGTCAGACTCAGACCAACATTTTCCGAAAATCCAAAGCCCATACAAATTCCTCTTACACTACTTTGCCTCTCAAGTGAAATATCATTTCTTTGCCTAGCAGCCTTCACTTACAGCCAGGGTGGTTGTGGACAGATCTGCGTATGGCTCCAGTATAAGAAAGTGGGGAGATGTTTAGAAGGCTCAAAAAAGTGTTGACACCAAAAATTCAAACTATCCCCTGTCCACAGAAGTCCTAGCTGAGTTTTAAAATCAATATTCCCTCAGCTGACCCTGATAAGACAGAGATTTCAAAAACCAAATATGCACAGACATGTTCCACTTACTCACTCATGTAAACTTAAAAACTCGGCAATGAGTTACCATATGGAGCTCCAAGTACAAACGCTGTGTCTGTCGCCTTTGAGGTCTCCAGACAAAGGCGGGCAGTGAAGGAAGGACTCTAGGGGATGGGCACAATGCAAGGTGGACAACTCACCCATTTCAGGAGCTGGCTTCAGCCCCACAGCACCACAGGGATGGAGGTAAGAGACTATAAACGCAGTAGGCTGACTGCAACTGTGCTATAAGGAAAACTGTGAACCCCAATCAGCAGCAATCACACTTGATCTTCAGGATGACTTTGGAGCAGTTCTCAGAACTAAGTAGTGGAGAGAAGGCCAAGTGAGGTTATACATGACTCAGATAAAGCTATGGATAAATTAATTTTGTTTTCTTGTGCAAACATTTATCCCAACTGAAGAATTATAGTGTTGGCATGAATATGCATTAAAAGAACAGAAGCTGTATTGTGTTCCGAGGGAACTGTATTGACTACACAAGCAGCTAATGACATGGTTTACTTCTCTGGAAGAATCAGCACTCATTTTCAGAGTGACCTTATAGTTTAAACTCTTTGAATTGAGAGCACAATGAACAAGCTCGTCTAGTGAATTTATAAGTAACTATGACACAGCAGCACCAAGTCACTATCTGGGTAACTCATCTGCCTGTGGAAACCTGTGTGGATCGTTGTTTTTGCACCAGCCTTCCTAAGCTAGTACTGTCTGCAAACAAATCTTTCCGTGCAGACTAAAGAGAGCCTGATTCAGTAGAACCCACATGTCACAGATCATTTGCTTTGCCTCTCTCAACACAGAACTTTAGCATCGGATGAACGGAGGCCAGATGTCCTCCTTGGACACCAGGCCAAATGGATTTGTTTCTAAGCAGAGTCAGAGGAAACCAGAGGTAGTTATGCACCTGGTCCCCAGTCAGCTTACCCTTTTTAATGTGCCTAGTCATCCCTGAAGTTTTGCCCTGTTAACAAAATAGGAATTTGCCACTGCTGTCTTCAGAGGTGCTCACAAAGCCATAGAATAAAATGACTACAATTTGAGATCAACTGACTCAAAAATTTTATCTCCTAGAGGAAAAAAACCTAAGGTCCAAGGAGGTTAAGTGACTAGGCCAAAGTTACCCAGCTAGGAGATGGCAAAGCTTTCAAAGACACCAGACTCTAGATTCCATGGCGCAACCTCACTCCTGGTTATTGGTTGCATCTAAGACAACGGCCTTCAAACTTTAGCATCAGAATCATCTGGAGGGCTTGTTAAAACACAGATTGCCAGGTCCCACCCCCGGAGCTTCAGATTCAGTGTTTCCGGACTGGGGCCTTGAATTTACATTTCTAACAAGTTCCCTGGGGGAATGGTGATACTTTCGACCTAGGGTCCATACTTGGAGATCCACTGAGGTAGCATGTGTGATTAGATGGGAGGAAAAGTCGCTCATCTGACCCCATGGACACAAAAGTTTTATCTAAAAACTCAGAACAAAGAAGTTTGTTCCAGTTTCCAAATCTGTTCTAGGCTATGTAAGTTAGGGGGAATTTATCTTCTAGAATGCACATTTTAGAGGCTTTTAAATGTCAGGGGGAAAGGCTTCTGTTCATCCTGCTAAACCATCCTAAAGAAGCTTTACATTTGAGTCTGAAAATTAAAGATGAAGAAATAATCCTCAGACAAATATAGAAGCCCAGGGAAAAGGATGGGTGGCAATGGAAGGTGGGCACAGGCGTGTGAGCGGTGATATGGCTTGGCTGTGTCCCCACCCAAATCTCATCTTGAAATTTAGCTCTCCTAATTCCCACGTGTTGTAGGAGGGACCCAGTAGGAAACAATTGAATCATGGGGTCGGTTTCCCCCATACTGTTCTCGTGGTAGTGAACAAGTCTCACGAGATCTGATGTCTTTATGAGAGGTTTCCCCTTTCCCTTGGCTCTCATGCTCTCTTGCCTGCTGCCATGTTAGGTGTGTCTTTTGCCTTCTGCCATGATTGTGAGGCCTCCCCAGCCATATGGAACTGTGAGTCCATTAAACCTCTTTTACTTTATAAATTACCCAGTCTCAGGTATGTCTTTATCAGTCTGGTGAAAATGAACTAATGCAAGTGGGAAAAGAAGGACACGATTAGTGGATGGAACAAGGAGCACTGGGGCTCAGAAGCAATCTGGCTCAGTTGGGCACATGCAATCAAGAACATGGAAAAATGGCAGTTGGATTGTTGAGCTGGAATCAGGAATGCCAGAAATAGGATAGAGGGCAGTGCAAGTGTTGGTTCACTAAGAGAGAAAGCAAGACCCAGCTGTGATTGCAGCTGACTTCATTCATTTATTGAATCATTCAGCAAGCATTTACTGGGCATTTCCTGCATGCTAGGCCCTGCACCAGGACTGGGGATGCAAAAAGTAAGAAGGCGTTGCCCAAGAAAGAGAAATAGTGAAAACAAACAACTCTGATGGAATGGCATAAATGTTCAACAGAGGTCCGAAGCACTGCATAGCAGAGTTAACTTCTGCCTGGAGAAAACTCTACTTGAGGTTTCTCTTGCTTTTATCACTGGCCAAAAGTTGGTTTACCCCAGTGCTCTATCCTTGGACTTCTTATTGTTAAAGGCTTTTGGGGTCAGGGCTGGTATTTATGCCTGTAATCCCAGTGCTTTGGGAGGCCAAGGTGGGAGGATCACTTGAGGCCAAGAGTTCAAGACCAATCTGGGGAACATAGTGAGACCCTCATCTCTACAAAAATGAATAAATAAATTAGTTGGGTGTTGTGGCACGAGCCTCACTTGAGCTCAGGAGTTTGAGTGCAGTGAGCTATAGTCATGCCACTGCACTCCAGCCTGGGCAACAGAGCAAGACCCTGTCCATAAAATAAAATAAAACAAAATAAAATAAAATAATTTAGTCTAGTGGTGACCTCCAAATGCTGTATTTGAACTCACATGCTGAATCTTCATCTCCAGCCTGATTTCGTCCAAGCTCCATCTCCTAGGCTGTCACTTCCAGCTGTCCTCTAGGCATGGATACCTACATATCAACCTTTTTATCTCAACATGTCCAAAAACAGATTCATTTTCTTTCATACTTTTAATCACATAAGCTAATGGCTTTTCTATCTAAACATCCTTCCAGGCTAAATAAAATACTCGAGACATTTTTGGCTCTTCTCACTCATTTTCCATTTCTGATGTCACCAGAATCTTTTATTCCTACTCCCATAACTGTGTCTCACCTGGCCTTTTCTCTCTGTAACCACTGCCTTCAGTGGCTCAAGCCTGTAATCCCAGCACTTTGGGAGGCCGAGGCGGGTGGATCACGAGGTCAGGAGATCGAGACTATCCTGGCTAACATGGTGAAACCCCGTCTCTACTAAAAATACAAAAAACTAGCCGGGCGTGGTGGCGGGTGCCTGTAGTCTCAGCTACTTGGGAGGCTGAGGCGGGAGAATGGCGTGAACCCGGGAGGCGGAGCTTGCAGTGAGCCGAGCTCATGCCACTGCACTCCAGCCTGGGAGACACAGTGAGACTCCGTCTCAAAAAAAAAAACAAAAAAACAAAACAAAAAAAAAAAAAAACCACTGCCTTCAGCAACACTCCACTATTTTGGCTCCTTCAGACAATTAGAAGTGTGAGGGAGGCCGGGCGTGGTGGCTCACGCCTGTAATCCCTGCACTTTGGGAGGCCGAGGCGGGCAGATCATGAGGTCAGGAGATCGAGACCATCCTGGCTAACACGGTGAAACCCCGTCTCTACTAAAATACAAAAAAATTAGCCGGTTGCGGTGGCGGGCGCCTGTAGTCCCAGCTACTCGGGAGGCTGAGGCAGGAGAATGGCGTGAACCCAGGAGGTGGAGCTTGCAGTGAGCCGAGATCGCGCCACTGCACTCCAGCCTGGGCGACCGAGTGAAGACTCCGCCTCAAAAAAAAAAAAAAAAAAAGAAGTGTAAGGGAGAATGGATGAGGAAAGGGTGAGGGCCCTGGGCTGGTCTGTCACCGGCTCTGCCCAGGATTCAACTGGTTTTTGAAGGGCCAAAGCAAAAAACCAAGTCATGGCCATCTCTGAATGTCAGACTAAGGACATTTGACTTTATTTGGCTGGCCATGAGGAGTGCGGAAAAGCTTTTGTAGAGAGAAGTGATGTAATCAGAGGTATGCATTAAGAAGATTAATTTGGCAGTAGCTTATAGAAAAGATTATATGGAAAATAGATTAGCAGTAAGGAGATCAGCTAGGACATAATTGCAAAAGGCCATATGATTAACAGGGAAGGTTTGAATTCAGTTGGCAGTTGTGGAAACAGAAGGTAAGAGATGGGGGAAATATTTTGGAAGTAGAATTGGTATTACCTTTTGAAGTCTGGTGTTAAGGGAGGCAGAATTCAAGCATTCACTCTTGAGGTTCTATCCTTGACTAGCCAGGAGAATGGGGATTTCACTTAGGGAAAGAATGATGGGGCGAGGGGAGAAGGGAATGAAGAAATGCAATGTTCAGATTTAGGCATGTTGTGCTTGAGGCACTATTGGCAATGCTAAGAGAGTTGAGGGACTCAGATTGTGAGGCTGGGACAGTAAGACCAGAGCCACACAGCCCTACTTAGAGGTGAAGAGCAGCTCTGGGTGAAACTGATCAAGGTGTAAGCCTGACCAAAATGCTTTTGTAATTGGTGATGATAAGAATACCAGCACCCTTGAAGTAGAAAAAGCCCTGTAAGAAGAAGAGGTGGGGAAACTAGACTGCCATCACTGCTGTTCATGATGAGAAAGTAGAAGTGGCACAGTAAATTAATCATCAGCAGTGATAGAAGTAAGAGAGGCAGAATCCTAGTCAAAGGCTGTAGAAAGATTGGGAAGGATGTGTTGCCTTGGGGTGACGTGAATTAGTTTTCAGGCACAGAGACCTAGAAGAGGTAGGGAGAAAGAAGGAGAAAGGACAATAGAGAGTAGATAATAGATAATGTTAGAAAAAGACAAATAAATTAAGATCAAGGTCAAAATAGGAACAATAGTCTGGAAGAATGAAAGACGGGGGTAACACAGAAGAAACAATGAACTTCCTTCTGAATGGGAGAGGAAAGCAAAAGAAGGGTTAAGAAATGGTTCACGAAAGAAATGAAGGTTGAATGTTTAATGCAAGTCTTTAAAAATATGTGGAAAATGCAACAAGGAGTAAATACAGTATGCACATGAATGTATGAATTACCAAGC